ATGTGTACACACATCCATACTGTACACACATGCTACGTGTATACTCACACTACAGCTCCCACACCGAGTACATATACACATACACATACGTACCGCACACTTACACGATGTGTACCATGCTATGTGCATACACATGTACCCACGTTGCACACACAATGTGTATCATGCATGTGTACACTCAGTCCATCTTACACACTGAATGCACACACACATTACATATCGCACTACACACAACAAATACACACACACATATCCACACTGCACACACACATATATATATCCACATTGCACACACATGGTATGTGTACCATGCTATGTGCACACACACACACCTCCACAGTGCACACATACATTGTGTACTGTGCTGTGTATACACACACTGCAACACACATACCACACACATACACATATCCATACCACACACACACCATGCTATGTGCATGCACACATCCATACCACACATGTACACATATGCACAGTCTGTGCACACATCACATGTACACACCACACAGACACATGTACACGACACATGCATCTCCTAGATGTGCACACACATGCATGTACACATATACACATTAAATGCACATACAACATACCACATGGCCCCACCACTCCACCAAACGCACTCACCCACCACCTGACACACATTGTGCACCCCACGTGTTGTCCCTGCCTCCCCTCACTGGAACCTGTCCAGGCTAGAGGAGCAAGGACATGATGATGCGTCTCATCTCTTCCAAACCACACAGCAACCACTGTCTGAACTGCCTTTCCTTCATGCATCGCAAGCAGCCAATCAGCACAGCCCCTGCAGCTGGCCCAGGGACAGCCAACCTCTTGGATTTGCCTGGGCCCAGGGCCAGGGGCCATGCACCAGAGCCCAGCCCTTGGTCCCCAGGATCCTCTCTCCCCCTGCCCAGGCAAGCTGGCCACCCCACCCCGTGGGTGTGCTGACTCCACTCAGCCTGTGTGTTCCTCACTGCCTGCGTGGGGCAGGCCAGCCAGCCTTGTACACCTAGGCCCACAGCAGTACAGGGCCCACCTGGGCTCACCCACATATACCTAAGCCCTTGGCAGCATGGGGCCCACCTGAGCTCACCCACGTGCACCTAGGCCCATAGCAGCCGTTCCAAGCTTGTAGCCTGCAGAGCCCGTCCTCCCAGAGCTCCACACAGGCCTGAGCCCGGGACCTGCAGCCCAGCCGTCCTCCCTCCCTCCCACCCCAGCTGTTGCAAATTTGAGTGTCTGGTCCACGCGGGCCCAGCGATCAGGTGCCTGAATCTCATGCCTCTTCCCGATCCCACAGATGTTCAGTCTGGGGATGAAAACAACACAGCTCCCTCCTCAAGATGAGACAGTCTCACAGGCTCAGTGTGTGAGTTACGCACAGCTGAGCTGCTATGAAATCAGTGTAGCAAGTTCTCTCCATCACAGCCCGACTCAACAAGGCAATTAACACACAGCAGATCCCAGAGTCCCTGCTCCACGGATGGGGGCAGGCAGGACAAGCTCCGTGCGGCAGCAAGTGCATCAGGACAGACGAGGGGTCCTGGGCCACGTGGAGCAGATCCGCCCGTTAGTCCATCCCCCCAGCCCGTGTCCAACCATGGCTGCCTGTCCTCCACCCCACCCGTCCCACCACTTGCAGATCCTCAAAACACAGGGAGGGCCCACAGGCAACCAGGGAGGAGTCTCCCAGCTCCACTCACTCCAGGCGAAAGCCCCGGCACAAGAGCGGTGACCGTGATTATGAGGAGGGCTCTTCAGGGCCACCTGAGCTGACATCAAAGCCACCCAGCACTCAGCAGCAGGCGTTGAAGCAGACGCGGTGCCCGGGGCCGCGGCTGAGGCCCTGCCTTCCCCCTGCCTCCCTGTCGCTCCCCACCTGACCCTCCTGCGCAGACGCGCAGGCGCACATGGCATCACAGGCCCGAGTCATTGCCCAGGCCGCATGCTGAAACGTCCAAACCCAGACCGGCCCGGGGCTCCTCCCAGCAGCCTCCCGGGCCAACTCGGTCCTGTGCCCAGGCCACGGGCAGCACGAGAGATAGGCGCCACAGGGCACAGCCGTCAACAGGTTGAGTGGGCTGATGGCTGGCTGGCGGGCTGCCCCTCCCTGCCTGCGGTGACCGCAGCACCGGAGCTCAGGGT